TCACAATGCTCTTATGTTACAACCGGATGTAAAACTTCCATATACTTTTATAATAAAAGTGGATTATTAATATTATGTTGAAATCCTGTTTGAAAAAAACTACAAAAACAACTCAAATCGTTGAACAAAACCCATTCAAATTGCTGAGTGGGCGGGATTCATATAAGAAAAATGGATAATACATAATAACTGTCGAGTACTTGGTTTACATCTACATATATGTAAAGCACATTCGTACACACCAAAGGTTGAGGAGAAACAGGTGCGCGATATGAAATGTGTTGATAAGTTAAGGCTCAAGTAAGGTTGTAAACGTGTTTCCCATCAATCTATTGGGATCCGAGTAATATTGTATATTTTAGGTTCCATAATTGCTTCAGTTTATGTCCTGTCGAAAGACCCTGTGCAATCCATAACTGTGTATGTAATCCTGCCATGATGGGTATACGTATGTAGGTTTATTGATTTAGCCAACATTTGTCTGTCCTAAAGTATTTATCTCATTAAATTATCCGGACTTGAAGTATATGTAGAACAGCATAAACGAGCCATGAATATGGACTTAAAAAATTACGTACATTAATTGTCTTGATTAACTACACTAACCTTAGTAATTGTTTCCACGGGTTGAATTTAATTGATTTGACATACCATATCGATGGCACTTAAATTAATTCATTTGCGAAGTTTTGTTATAACTGCGGCCACCTACCAAGTAAAGCAATATAATCTAATTTTCATTTAATTAGGCATCATATACGTTTACGCAACTGAAATTCTGGATAACTTATGTTTACGTAGTTTTCATACGTTGAACATACCACATCCAGGATATAGTTTAATCATGAAGGAAGCCATTTTCTTTTCCCTTGGTCTTTTAACAAGTCAGTGACCTGTCGGTGACCTCAAACATCTGTAACGCGGAATTAGGTCCCAATTAGTTGTTTCAACTACATATGCAGAGATTCAAAAGTCTATGCATATACGCTGTGCGTATAAAGTCCTTGCGCATAAAATTAATACGATCTTCATCAGCTTATAGAAACAACAAGACTGTACTTTTCGAAAAGTTTTATTTTTTCTAAAGTACTCTAATATGGTGTGAGTCCGCCAACATTGTCATGGACTTCCTCCACTTTTGTTTTAAAATATAGTTACATGTTTTGTAGATGCTCAACGGGAAGTGACTTCAACTTTTTTGGAAAAGATCCTGTAATTCTTGTCTTGTTACATAAGAATAGTTCTGGTATGCCGAATACTTTAGTATGGACCATTAGGTTTCTATCGAGTTCAAATCCGGAGGATTGCGGAGACACACCCCCATTCTATAGACCGTTTTAGCTTTCTCCTCCAACAGCTTCAATGTTACCATAAGGATTTGTGCTGGGGCACCTGCTTGTTGAAAATCTTTAATTCTTTTAATTGGCCTTTCTATACGGCCAGAATCTGCTATTCATACCCTTCAAATATACGGGGAGAATTTCTTTTGATAATAAGCGGTCTTGACTTTTTCACTCTTAAGCAAGAAATGCAGTCCAGAGAAGCCACCAGTGAAAAATATACCTGCTACCATGATTGTGATGTCGTGTCTCGGCTTGAGGGTGGTTGGGGCAGACTTCTTTTCTTCTGTCCTATATCTCAAATTTTGTGGGCTACATTGTCCGTTCAATTCGGTTCAGCTGTCATTAGCGAATAGTCGGCTTCTGTCAACCCCATGCAAGGGTCAAAACCCCACTTTTTTCGACCTTGTGACCCCATGTTGTTGTTTTTAGATATTTCCGAAAAGTGTTTGCGAAGATACGTTTATTTTTCCATTGGCAGCGTTTACCCAGGTTTTAATTATGCGCGTTATTTAATTAATTATTACCCTATCTTACCCAGTTTACGGTTCTTGAGCTTTTCTAGTGAATCTCCCAAATCCCCGATGTATTTTTGACATTGCTTGGCGTCCTACAGTAGGCTAGAATATTGTCAGTCGCCCTGACCGTTGGTTGACGTTAGAATAATCATCATCTGTCCATGACCTCCATGTATTTAGGGACACCTTCAATTTTTCACAAATTTCTAGAACACTGTACTCCTCATCATGTAATGTTTGTATCCGAATTATTTATTTTTTCAAAATAAGGCCTGACATTTGGCCTCATTTTGACAAAACAATTTCTACCACAGATTGGCAAAAGTAGAAGTTATAGCTAATTTTGTGCTTCAAAATCGTGCCTCACAGTGATGCTCAAAGACTTTTCACACACAGTATAAGTATATGGTATTATATCGTATTTTAAAAAACGTCCGGGTGTCCTTACTCTTTTTTACATACTGTATTTAAATATTTTGTCCTATGCTGACTTTATATATGTAATGTACAGTTATATAACAATTTAACAGATTTTTTAAATGTGGAAATTAGTTTATTTATAGATTAAATATATTTATTTATATATATATATTTGGATTTTCACTTGAAAGCTTGATTTAAAAAATCTGTTTTCTCTTCGATTCCACAATAACTTCGTGTCAATAACTTCATTTAGTTGAAATATAGTCTTGTCAAAACTAACAAGTTTCCAAAAAAAATTTAAATACCTTAAAAATCCCCAATTATATTAACATTTTTATCATGGTGCTGCATTCTATCAAAAATGAGCTCTATGCCAAATATCATCGCCCAGAAACAAGTAATACCTTCAATTGAAAAACAAGTCCTCGTCTTTGCCAAGTTGCCCTTATTCGGCGTCTAGTTCAAGGGATATTTTCCCCTGGTACAACAAAGTGCCAAGTTTGATACTGAATCTCATGCATTATCATGCATTTTTAATGCATGATAAATGTTATTCATTTCTTTAAAATTATTATTACTATGTATGATGATGATCACGCTGATGATGATGGTGATGGAAAATTTTATGAGTTGGGTAACCAGTTGGCGATCAGCCATTATTTAATTTTATATCTATTTCTGTCAATAAGTCCCTTTTGTTCAAAATCCCGTTACCTTGCATCCCTTTCAAAAACAGAGTTGAAAATAAACATGTTACAAACAAGTTTGCTAGATGTCACCATTTAATGTTTCAGTTTGACTCATCACGATTAATTTTGGCCTTTATATGAATCTTGTTTATTTGTTTATTCCGCGTCCCAATTTGCTTGTTAGTTGTTAGATACATGTTTTTGTTTTGGTAACTTGCTCCGCAAAAAATAACCAGAGGTTGTTTATTCGTTTGAAAACTTAAATACTCATTTCCTCAAAACGTATTTAATTAACTATTGAGAGCTTGGCCTAAACTTTTTACCTACATTGTATTCTAGATTATCGGATATGTATTTAAATTATAGGATATATTGTACATATTCCTTGGTTTTATGGTAATAAATTGTTGAGTAAAATGGGTATTAAATGATTATAATTGGACAATTGGACATGCCTCGGGTATAATAAATTATTTACGGAAAAATATTATTTTTTAGTTGGCTAAAAGATTGCAATCCTACAGAACCTACCGTCGCAATAAGTTGCTGCTTACTAAATACTTGATTTCTGGATGCAGGGAAGCGTAAATATTTAACTGGGCAGAATACCTACGAAGTGTAGGCAAATAATCAAATATAACCTTGTGGAAACAGTGCGTGGTTATCGAGCTGATTGTTGGCTTTAAAATATTGTTTCAAGCTTTTAAGCCACTCGAGCACCCGAAAATTCAACATCAATGTTTCCTCCACTATTTTACAACGCCTTTGGTAACCACGTCAACCTAACCACCATTTTCGGCGGTTCTCCATTTATATGGAAACACAAGACAAAGAAGCTAATAGTACATCATACCGGAAACTAGGTACACTACTTCTTAAACGTAATAAAAAATTCATTTAGTTAACTATAAGTTAAATTTTGCTGATATGATCGATTGTGTCTCAATACATATATACTTACCTACATATTTTGACAATTTAAAGCACGTCTAATTTTGCATTCTAAATTGCATACATATTACAGATGATAGACGATGTGTCGAAAACATTGATTAAAATAATTGAACTAAACTAGAAGAATGGAGCGTGACATTTGTTTAAGTATGTAAAACAAAAATGTATACCTACATATCTTTCTTCTTTTTCAGCAATGCGATTCATAGCATACCTATGGCAACCACAGGTGGTTTGGTTTATCAACCTTATCCAAGGTTGTGTTATTGATTGTATTCAAATCCTTATTGTGTAACTACTTCTATATTTATGAAGGCATAGGACAATTGAGGATTTAGTAAGGATTTTTGTTCATTGAACAAGACCAGTGTTTCCATGGCAATTATCTCCTGCAAGAAAATAACTTCACCTAAGAAAAATACAGGAAAATTGTTCCCTGCAGCTACTTTAGTTTGGCCCTAATTAACGTTGCGGTAACACTTGTAATATGAATATCTGACTACACCTCAATGGTAGTAAGCGTGTTACAAATCGATATTAAGTTGATTATCACGCTTGACTTACAAGGGAACCTTAAGTACTGTAACTCATGGAATCGCTTCTATGTAGGCTTAATCGACAGATAATTTAATGCTGATTAAACTTTACCAAAGAACTATAGGTGCAAAATCACGTTTTGGCGCGATATTTGGCAGGAGGTGCTTCAAAACGAAGAATTTTAGCAATGCTTTCCTTATGGGAGTAACTTTCACCCTACCCTACGCTGGATATACCATCCTGTTTTTACAGTTGATGCATACCTCGGCCCTACAATCTTAAAATTTTGCAATTATATTTTATCAAAAGACATCAACTGTAAAAACAGGATGGTATATCCAGCGTAGGGTAGGGTGAAAGTTACTCCCATAAGGAAAGCATTGCTAAAATTCTTCGTTTTGAAGCACCTCCTGCCAAATATCGCGCCAAAACGTGATTTTGCACCTATAGTTCTTTGGTAAAGTTTAATCAGCATTAAATTATCTGTCGATTAAGCCTACATAGAAGCGATTCCATGAGTTACAGTACTTAAGGTTCCCTTGTTAGTCATACATTTGCAACCACGCAATAACCAATATTATATGTAGTTGCAAATTTAATGCCATGTCCGAAGACGAAAACATACATATGTAATTAGACTCTATATTGTAGATTACGTTAAGAACTGTATGAAAATATGTCACATAATGTCACACTTTTTAAAGGGAAGTCATGAAGCAGGACAGTACTCCAGGCTGTAAGTGGAAAACCCTTTAACATGCATCAATGATATTTTTTATTTGTTTACCACAGGTGTTCAAATGAATAAATTTGTATATAAATAGAATGCTAGCTTATATATGTTAGTTCTACAAAAATACTTGATCACTTTTACATTACTGGAATTTTTGCAAGCGTATACCTAATAATAAAGTCTCTCAGGTGACAAAAAACATTTACTTGAAAAACCTAAAAACTAACTTTTTTTACCCATTATATTTAAAATTACTTATTTAATACAAAATTTATACTTACAGATATTTACTGAAACATTATTTTTACCAGGTAAAAATGTCAATTAGCTACGCACTATCGATAATCCTCTTCATATCTATGTTTGGCGATGATACATTCGCTTTTTATCAAGTGACTGATCACCCCAGTGTTGTCTTAGGCCCATTTTTCACCTACCACCCTCATGGAACGAGTCATTGTCTGAGTGAAGGTCACGAACCGGGATCACTTATCGTACGCCCGTGCGATTCAAATAAAGCACTTGCTTTTTTCAAAAGCGGTGACGAAACGCTTAAAAGCAATAGCACGAATGGACCTCTCTGTCTCGAAGAAAGAACAACTTCTGCTGCGTTAGCGATTTGCGACTATAAGAAGGAACAACAACGCTGGCGTATGCATTGTATTTTTACCGACAACTGCTATGTAAAGACAGAGTCGAAGAAATGTTTAAAGGTGGATTTGACAGATTACACATCTGTGATTATCGGTGAGTGCACGAAAGATGCTTTATGGCAGCGGAGATGGGTAAAAGGAACCAAAACTGATTTTATTTCTAATTAGGAAATACGTCTAAAATTCTACGTATTACATTATATGTACATGTATTTGTATATGTATATGTACTACAATATTCTTTACATACATATGTAAATATGCGTATACGCATATATGTATACGATTGATTACAGAATTATACAGAATTTGCTAAATTTGCTTTCATTTCTGAAAATTAATAAAGGCGTCAAGTAAATTAAATACGTAATAACTTCAACAAGCTAGCACAAGTGTCGACATAAGTAAATTGCATATACATATAAAGTCATCTGGGTAAATGCCAGGTTTGCCAGTTTTTGTTCTTATTAATTTCTGGCGTTACATATATATGTAGATTTATCATTAACTTAACCTAGTAAGTTCAATTTATATTACATGTTATATGTGTCAAGAAAATATACATAGTGAATATGCTTTTACCTTTACATATTTAAGACATTAGTAAGAGGTTTTATAAAAAAAATTCATAAAATATAGAAAATGCAATAATAAATAAGTGTATATATGTAGTAATGTACCAGATTTGTATTTTCAGTTTATGGTAATTTTAAATATGTAGGATAGTACAGGACCCAATTATCCGTATAACTAGCGAGGTAAGCATGTCTGTATCAAAGGTATCTGGATGTGACAATTAAGCAAGGATGATTTATTATTTTGTATGATTTACATAACGACTATATTTAATTACATGGTTCAACGCGATGTCATGGAATCCAGATCCTGAAAAATTTCACTGAATAATAACACGTTAGTACATATCTAAAAAGGTGTATTTATGTAGCATATGAACCAAGTAGATTAATAGAGTTTCCATTGTGAAATCCAATACTCGCCAGAGTGTGACTGTATTTGCCACACGCGGAGTTGGTGCATACATAAATAAATACCCATTTTAATCTTATCCTCACCCAGAATGAGTGAAGACTCGTTTACTTTCCTTGTGAATAAACATTTATCACTCGACTTTAAACGGGAGTTTTAGTAAACGACTTATCTTTTGCTCGATTCTCTATATTGTTGGCTTTAAAATGATATAACACTCTTGATTTTTGGTGTTGTTTTAACTTTAAAACTTTAACTTGAAATCAATTAATAATACTTTGGTGGAGAGACATATGTGCTCCACCACCACCGTGATGAACAAAATCGAATCGAAATGACTGAGTCTCGATAGCCGTAAGACTAAAGAGCACGGTTGTGAACCAAATTGGTCAGGGTTCAAATCAAAGGGTGGCGGAGGTTTTCCTTAATGGGTTTCTCGCACGATTGTGTCGCAATCGTAGGGGTTGGGAGCCCTTCACACTACGTGGGATGCGGGAGTGAGAATTAGAGGGTGCACCTTAGGAGTCCTTTCACCCTCATGGTTAACCCAACCTCTCTACGAATTTCCTGCTTGAACGGGGTGTAGCGTTGCAAGAAAAAAATTTAAATAATATAGATTTTCACGTATATTTTTAATTTTTATAACAAGCCCAGATAGAATGTTGAGTTATGGAACCTTAGACAACAACATTCATAAATATGTATTTATTTCCAAGATTTAGAAGAACTCCGTAATTACGCTTTTAGAATTTCATGCAAATTCAAGGCAACCCAGCTATACATATTTACATATACTACTTGTGAATACAACCTATCTATGTCACATAATTACTTCTCCAATATTCGTGCAATAAGTAATGACAATTTTTGATTTCGGGTATGTATGTACGAGTACAGGTTGAATGATATTATTACGTATGTAGGATCAAATTGGTTATCCAAAATTGGAGATTGGAATAATATGTAAGTGCATATTTCCAACTTAAACGCAGCTTCTAGATAATACCAATCGATCCCTTGGGGAATGGCTTAAAACAATATTTCTTAGCCATTCCATATTTATAAATCCTCAAATTTTGCATATTTAGAAGTGATGGATTGGCAATTCTCTGTTATCCTAAAGAGATAGAGGTAATAACTAGCATAAGTCGAAGAGCCGTAACTTTAGTTCCCAACATACATTTGAGAATACAAATGATTTGTTCCTAAATCCTACATAAGATAGGATAGATTTGATCCTACCTAGAACCGGAGAAGCTAAGCGTTACACATAAAGATTTATACTTTAAACCTGGACTTGTAATGTTTCCGTCATTCTGGGTTACCCTACTCGGGGTTATCTCAACTTGGACATTGTACAGCGCATGCTCCGTTTGGAATGACATATTTATCGATGCCGATATCAGCTTTGCCTTTACTTATGAAAACAAAATGTTATTGGACGTGGAGAAAGATTTTCCCTATTTTCAGGCCCTAAGACTTGCTAACTCTTACACCCCGTTACGCAGTTTTTCTCCGAACCAATCAGAATTTTTAGCAATGCCTGCCCCATTATACTTCAATAAGTCAAAGGCAAAATATGGGTACCCTGACACGGAGAAATCACCACGACCAAAAGTTATGTTCATCAATCTTATATCCTCTGTTGGTTTAGAAGCGAAATGCGAATTCTTACTTTGGTCTGCAGATTTGTGTTTTCAACAAGATTTCGCGTTTGGCTATATCCATGGAGAGAAAGATTTATTGTGTCTTCATAATCATCCTAAATTTTTGGGTACCCTGAAGTTAGTACTGTTCTTGGATGGAGACATTGTATCCCTAATTGTTCCATGTTTGACGTGTGATGTGCTAATGTTCCAACTAGTTACCACATTGTCGTTACAAGGGATCCGTAAGACTTGGGATGATCAAAATATGAACCTCCACAAATACGTCTCGTTTATGTTTAACCCACGAGTTAAAAATTGTTACCCACTACTCGACGAACTTCATTTAATTGCCAGTCTAACAGATTTTGACTTTTGCCCAGTCTTAACAATAGCAGACAAGTATAACTTGACTTTGATGGAATACAGATTGGGTATGAAACTTTATGGCAGGAGAAGCTATGGTTTAGCTTTAACGGCAAAATCCAACTTTGATCTAAACTTCGGATACGTACTGTATCAGGTTGATCTACGAACCACTAGTTTTGTAACTCTGACTAATCCACCCACCCCTGAAGCTGGACTGTCGACGTTCGTGTCGCCTTTCGAATCGGAAACGTGGTGTTTCATTTTGGTCGTCGTTATATCCGTAGCGTGTTTCCTAACATTTTTGGAATCTGATGAAGGATTTGCAATGGTGAATAGAGGAGAAATTTGTCACGCATGGATTTACTTCACTACTCTCATCTCGGAGAAGGTGATCACGGTAACATTCATATTTCTCGGGCAGGTTGGTGACAGTGCGGGAAGGACGTATGGTAAAAGGAACGTGGCCCTTATCCTGTTTACCTTATGGTTCTTTGGAAATCTTTTTCTGATGGTTAATTACTATCAGGGTTCGATATATTCATGCCTTGCGGTCCTCTTTCCACCAAAGGCTCCACGAGAAGTTGAAGAACTCGCTGACTTGGACGTTTCAATGGTGGCCATGGATAATTATAGGACACGAAATGGAACTAAATACACATATCTGCAAGATATGGTGTTTCCCCAATTAAATTCCAGTGTTAGTCAGACTCCTAAATTTGTCAAGTTTATAACAAAGCTTGACGCTAAGTTGTTGTCAATAAACGATCCCTCACCGATGGAAATGTACCAGAAAATTTTGTATAGCAACTCAACTCACGAAAAGCCCATGGTAGTATTCATTTTCAAGGATCTTTTCGAATTCTACGCAAGCTTTGTTAAGTACATGGGAAATCGTCACGTTGTCCAGAGTAGGGGCGATTCACCATTTCGAGTTATTTATTTGAGGCCTGGAAATAAAAACTTGTTCACTCCTTACCTCGCAAAAGGATTGAGACGTTTGAGTGAGTCTGGGTTGACGCAGATGTGGCTAGATCTGAATCGATTACCTCGTATTTTAAGGAGTAAAAAAATGCTGATTGCACGAAATAAATATTTTCAGGCTGTGCAAGACTTATTTGGAAAAGTTAGGGAACCCGTGACATTTCACGAGGATAGTGTAGTCTCTCTTGATCTTATCTTGCCGGCTTTCTCAATCTCTGCGGTTGTCACGGCAATTGGGTTGGGTGTATTCACGGCAGAAAATTCGAGAACGCTCAAATTTTGGGGGAAGATTGTTGTGAAATGTGTGAAAGAATTAGGTATGAAAATATTTAATGTTGTGAGAGACTGGACGATATTGATTACCTTTAGTATAAGAAAGCTAGTAACACAAGCTTTGAATGGATATCGTGGGGCACTACATAAATTTTGCCCTGGCTAATTAATTGAGTCGTACGGGCGCTGTTGTAGTGGTGTGTGGAGGGGGGTGGCTTGAACTGGTTTGAACCGGTTTCCGAATCGAACACCCATTAGTCCCAACTTCTGGGTTGGTGCATGGTTGGGTGGTGTTCAGAGAAATATTTCTGAGATCCATGAAGACCTTTTTTGTAAAAAATTTAGAAATTTATCTTATTCTAAAATTATATTTGTTAATAAAATTTTTACTACTGGGGATAAAAGTTTTGTCTAATTTAACTTGTCGCATCCGATTTCTAATTTTGTATCTCATTTGGGAAATGTATGTATGGTATGTTACGAGCACCATAAAAACGCATAGTTTATAAATGTTGATGATAAAAGTGTGGTCATTCAATAAAAAATAGAGCCGGGGTAGAAGGAATGAACTTGTAATGTAAAGTAATTCGTCATCCTCATAATATGTGAACACCATCATCATGACCCCACGATAATTAAAATTATTGCGTGTTCAAGATGGAATAACTCGTTAGTTTTTGGGTAAAATAATGAACACAAGTATGAACGTGTTTATATTTTGTGCAATTCGTGAATTAGAAGTCAGTGTTAGTTTGCAAGGCTAGAAATAACAAAAAAGATAATCTTCAAAAATGCCTATAGATGAGCTCTTTAGAGAAGTCAGTAATAAACTGATTGTTTATGTAGGTCAGCTGGCGCCCCAAATATTTGCCTGGTTCATCATCCTTGGACAATTTGGCTCAAAAGCGTATTATGAGAATGAGACAATTGTATGTGCCTATATAAGCCGTTTTCACACACTTAAAATATCTGTATACATGAGCAAAGCTTAAAATGAGTATCAACTACGTAAATATTTAGTTATGTAATATCGTCAATAATAACCCACAATTCGTGTGTTTTACAACTTTAGGTAGGTCAAGACGAAGCAAGAAGTAAGTGTTTAGAAATGGGGATGAAACTTGCCCAGCTAAGCAGCCCTGAGGAAGCTGAATGGGTAGCAACAAAGACTAATTCGTCATCCGGTTCTTCCGCTGGTATTTGTAGAACAAAACTTATTCATAGGTGAGGCAAAGTAAACATGGGTTACAAAAAAAAGTTACCCATGGTTACGGCGAAGCCTATGTATGCTTTTCTAGAAAGCCCCCAAAATGGCCACTGACTTTGTGCCAAAACGGTGCGTTGTATCAAAAAATCTTTGAACAAAAGTTTTAGAGCCAGATGACTAGATTGGTCAAATCAGATTTAGCGCCCAATAAAATGTTATTATCTACATTTAAATCAGCTTTTAAATTTTAAAATGCACTTTTGACGCACATTTGTCAGCACAATGTGCATTCTCTTATTGATTTTATTGTGTGCCAATCGGTTGTGCGTCATTTAAAGCAAATCCGTCTGAAATCCGTTGGAAAATAAAAAAGTTTTAGTGGAGGCATCTGAAGCTACTTTTTGACCTTCTTAAAATTATGGAATAACTAGCTGGTTGCTATTGATAACCAATATTTGTAGTGTATAATAATTATACACTAATTTTTTTCCCAATTATTGGGAAAAAAATCTTTCTTAGGGGAGGCAAAAATAATATTGGGTGAAAGGACAAATAATTTAAGTTTGCGCAAAAAAAATCTTAAAAAACTGAAGTTTTAGTGATATGTATGTGATATGAAATGTCTAACAGTTTATTTATCTCGACCTCACCTATGCATGTTTTTTTAAATCTTTCTTGTTAAATTATTTATGTCCGTACATATGTTCATAGGTTTTCAATCTTATGTCCGATTGGTCATCCTCGGACAGATGGAGAGCTTTACATACATCCTCAATCTTTCCACTGGGTGACGGACGGAAGCGATCTCTCCAATGATCTTGAGATCAAAATGTATCGGCATTTTGCCCTACATTTTTATTCAGCGCGACGGGTTTTAATGAGCTACAGGAGTAATATTGCTGCAAAAAGTTTATGCTACTTGGAAAGATCGGTCATCCAGATCGACGATAGACACCAATGGGGAATTACTGGAATAACGGATTCGTCGCTGATCAGGAATTCCGTCGGATCTGATTTCAACGAATCAGTTATAAAAGGATTGACTGTTGTAGATGAAACTTCTGGAAGTCGCTCTTATATCGTTCCCTCAGCAACTCATCCTAAGTATACGTCGATATATCTTGTATCTTGTCTAGTATTTGAAATACATTATAATTTGTTAAGATACGAGATACAAATGAAAGATATTTTGAGCGAAATCGTAAGATACCAGATACTAAATACAAATATTGATCGCTACACACGATATAAAATACAAGATACAATAGTATTTGTATTTTGTTAAACTATGTATTTATGGCCAACCCTGGTATATTCTACATAATAGATCCACCATCACAATATTTCCATCTGGTAATTATTTATCTATGAACGAAAATAATATTTACTTAGAAAATTCACTCGTGCATTATGTAACCTTATTTGCATAGGCCATTAAATAAATTCTTTGTTTGATTCATAATTCACCCTGTTTGCTTCGTATATGTATACATACATACATAAGTAGGTCTGCATTAACTAGCTAGTTAATGCAGACCTAATTATTTAATTTGCTTCTGCAACAAATTAGTCATTTTTTATTATACTTGAATTTAGCATGTAGCTAAATTTTATCCAGATGCATAATGCCACAACATAAATTTATTAGTGCTGTCGCAAGTAAAAAAAATACCAGTTATGTATGTATGTATACATATACGAAGCAAACAGGGTGAATTATGAATCAAACAAGGAATTTATTTAATAACCTATGCAAATAAGGTTGGATAATGCACGAGTGAATTTTCCAAGTAAATATTATTTCCGTTCATAGATAAATAATTACCAGACGGAAATATTTTGATGGTGGATCTATTATGTAGGGTATACCAGGGTTGGCCAAGATACATAGTTTAACTCGTATTTACTTTACTAAGCTTAAGCCTAAGTTTAAGTATCCCAAATTTATTGCGGGATCATGGTCAGGCCGGAAACTTTTGCTTCCCGAAGTGTCAAGGCCTTGAAAAATTCCTTGATTGGGGAATTGGAGAATATGCAGCCGGAATCAGTGAGTGCTGTCGTCAACGAGTGGCCATCTCGACTTCAACGGTGCATCGACGCACACGGAAGAAATTTTGAAACTTAATCAATGTTCCTTAATCAGAATTTCACTGGCTTTCCAATGTAATAAAGTACAAGTTTGTAAAGTCATAACGTGTTACTTTATTGACACTTGAGCGCTGACCACTAGGTATATGTAGCAATGGAATTAAAATATGTGTATATTAATATATCTGACTTTAGTCATTTGGGGACAATCCGCTGGAAATGAGGCATACATAGAACCACACTCCAAAGTAAATAACTAAAATTTACTCAACTTTGACTAAAAAATGTGACAAGACCAACATTAGGGTAAAATCGTGCCAAAGTTGAAATTTTACTCAAAATTGGACATATTTTATCCAAATGTTTATTTCGTCACTTTTTTACTCAACTTTCTTTACACTCTGTATGCGTACCGCGTTAGTAAATTCAACCCCATTCTATTTGAACCATACACACGAAGTTATTCCCTTTTTCAACTGTAGAGTTCAAGGCTAGAAAAATAAGTTGTTTTCGTCTACAAACTTTTGAAGAACCTTTTTCCATTGTTAACGCCGTCCTTGCAACAAAAATACATATTTACTCTTCTAGCTGCAGCTACACTCAAAAGTTCAGTGTTCAGCCAACTCTGCTCCGTTCCTTCTCCTTATAAAATCCGGGTCATAATAATTCGTCGCAACTTTGAAGTAATAATTTTCAAATAAAAATAATAAATTTCGTGCATATCTATAATAACAATTTATACCGGCATTATCTATTTATAATGAAATGATTTTGGCAAAAGTTGTCACGAATGAATAATTTTGTTTATAAGACTTACAGAACAATTATTTTTAAGGCCAAGAAGGAATAATTCCAAGGAGGGGAATCTCTATAATCTGTGTGGTAACGGAAACAAGTAATGGCACAAAAATCTCCTGGTAAGTTATTACTTAATTAGTAATTTAACTACATACTCGTCCAACAAATAATTAGCGATGGTTTAAACATGGATGGCTTTTATGTCAATTTTATTTCCTAATTTTGGAGAGATTCTTCACCTAAATAACTCAATTAGGTAGAACATTACGTTATAATTATTCACATGCATTCAATTAGTATGTACATATGAAGAGTGAAATGAATAATGCGCTTCATATGTGTAAAAATATTATCGTGCGAATCTTCAACCATGTCCATACGCCTCATAAATACATGGAGGGCAGAAGGACGTTCATTAAGTTAAATTTGTAATATGCATGGGGTAAAATGAGAAAATAACCGGATTTAAAAATTACAAATGGATACGTACTTAAGTTAACACGAAGATTTTGGGATGAATACTTTAATTAATTAGAATCCAGACAAATGTGGAGAAAAATATCATCACAAATCTACTTTAATAATTCACTCCTGTGATCCTTCCCTCTGTGACTGAATGCAAGTTGCCCCAAAAACCCAACTGCTCAGTGAGATCTGAACTCCTCACACGTGCCCTCTATCTCACCATCAATGTACGTCAGAAAAGAGATGGCGCAGTTAGCTTCATCGTGACATCTCTTCTCACGTATCAGCAGTTATCAGGCGATGACAACAGAACATTTGAAATTAAAAACCCCACCCCCCAGGGGGAGGAAATATTGGCGCCGATGATAAGAAACCATTGCATGTAACATATCTTTTTTCTCGGCATGACCAGGGGATGACGACAGAACATTTAAAATATAAAAAAACCACCCCCCAGGGGGAGGAGATATTGGCGCCGATGATAAGATAAACAATGGAATGTAAATTTGTTCTCAGCAAGATGGGCGGATGACGACAGAATATTGGAAATTTAAATATCTCAACCTATAGTGGGAGTGCCTTCCGTCCCTTTATATGCCTTAAAAATCGCAGAGTACCCCAAATATCTCAGACTTCACATAAAACCAACTCATACATACTACATGTTATTCTAAGAATCGTTAAATGGTTCACTACAATTTCAAATGTAATACCTCATCTCTAATTTTTGGACAGTTAACACTAGATAACATGGGGAATAATTTACAAAAAGGATTATCTATTTCTATCCATTAGACTTCGAAAGAAAATCTTTTTTCAACAAGTTTGCATATTTTAAGAATCATTAAATAGTTCACTACGGTTTCAAATATAATACTTCATCGTCAATTTTTATGCAATTTACACTACATAATATGGGAATTAATTTGCGAAAAGAATTATTTCCTTCTATCAATTAGATTTCACATGAAACCAACTATACATATTACAAGTTATTCTAAGAATCACTAAATAGTTCACCATAATTTCAAATGCAATGTCTCCGTTCCAATTTTTTCGACAATTTACACTAGATAACATTGGGAATAAATTGCAAAAAGAATCATCTGATTCTATCCATTAGACTTCACATACAACACATTTACATGAACAATTGTATAAATCATATCCATATGCAAAATATTTTATATAGTCATGTCTAACGGACCAATTTTCATTCGAAATTTATGACATGAAGATTAAATCACAGAGTTTATTATGCAACATTGCTCTAAGTGGAGACCTTTATCAAAATTGGTAATTATGCAAAATTTGCATGTTACAGATTGAGAAGAGATGATTTATATAAATATGTATATTGAGTTTGTGAAGAGTCTAATGGATAGATGTCTCATCTCTAATTTTTTGAACAATTTACACTTGACAAAATGAGGAATAATTTACAAAAACAATTATTCATTTCTATCCATTAGACTTTGAAAGAGAATCATTTTTTCTTCAACAACTTTATATATTCTACGGATCACTAAATAGTTCAATATAATTTCAAATGCAATGTCTCCTCTCCAATTTTTTGGGCATTCCACACTAAGCAACCTAGGGAATAATTTGCAAAAAGAATTATCTATTTCTATCCATTAGACTTTACATATAACACATTCATACGAACTATATTGTAAATCACATCCGTATTCTAAATCTTTTATATAATCATATCTAACGGACCAATTCTCCATATAAATTTATGACCTAAAGATGAAATCTCAGACTACAATGTGCACGATCGCTCTACGCTGAGACCTTTATCAAAATTAGTAATTATGTCAAATTCGCACATACACATACTGCGGTACATGCATATTTATTTTGCATACGTGCGTGCGAGTAAACGAGGGAAATGGTAGACCTGCTGTTGGATGTGGTAGTGGTGAGTGAGTGAATGAGTGGATACCGAAATGCATAAAATTATTTCATTTTCCACCATAGTTATTCGTAAACTACCCGCATATTTTTTTAATGCAACGCACAATAAGTAGGTTCTTACTCGGCCCGTCCTTGCGACGGGCTTTTGAACTAGTAAATCTAATAATTAAATATTTAATTACTCAAATAAATTAAATTTGGTATGATTTTATGTAGTACAAGGTGCAACCGTCCTTACTGTGGAGCATTTACGAAAATCAAAGCTGATCTTTTTGTGGCTACGGTACCCAGTCAGGAGAGAGCTGGAAACATTTTTTCCGGAAATTCATTTTAACTCAAAGTCGATTGAGCAAATGCGGAAATGGTTTTCAAATTTTAGGTAAAACCTATTTTTACAAATTCGTTTGCATAAATGACTTACAGATACACTCTTAGAAATCCAGCATTAATATAATGCCGGGCGGTATTAATATATAAATAAGTCTACGAAACGGTAATGCTGAATAATACCGGTTGGTACTAGCTCGGTATTGATATATAAGCATTTTTCCTGCTGGTAAAATCACTCCAAATAATCTGGTAACACCTTGTTACCATGCGGTGACTACATGGGTCGACATGGGCCTGGATCTACCGGCATGGTAATAATTTGATACAGAAGGGTAGTAACTTGTTACCGTCTGGTAGAAATAAATTTATTACGCTGGTAATAACTGTGACCTTACTAAAAGCGAGCAACAAATTATTTCCATGGTGGCAGAAGTATATGTAATCACCGCCTAGTAACACGCTGTTACTAGATTATTTAGTGATGTTATTACCAAATTTAATACCGCCGGATCCATTCCCGGGTTACTTTCCCCGATTTTTTTTGCAGTGTACACTTATGGTTTCCAAAGATTAGCTTGCGTTCCCCACCATCATCTCCTACCGTAGTTTTTGACACCTCTTAACTTTTGTAGGTTGAAATATCTAGAAATTTACAGAAACGATTTTCCTTTAATTTCAGGGAATTCTTTTACATCCAAGCTGAGAAGATTGCTCGTCAGATCGGTTGTACTGTCCCTCTGATATCCGTAGACGAAATTTTGATCCACACCGATTCAAGCGTTATGAGTGTAGATTTTCGAAAATTTTTTGATCCACTCACCATCCTGGAAGAATTTCCGGCATGGTTCATTGCATCATTTCAATGTTGTGTGCGAGCCTTCTACGAGGTCATCACGTCTGACAGGGATGGACAGGACGGTTGGAAAAAACCTATATACAAGGTAGCTTTCAATAGCGTCATACTTTATCGCAATTTAGACAAATATGGCAATAGTTTCCTCATTTCTAAGTTCAACAAGACATTAGTGCTGTACTCTAAAAAAATCTAATCACTGTATATTACCCGATCAGTTATAACTCTAAATTATTAATAATTAATTATTCTAAGTACTAAAATTAACGATATATACCTAGGGACCGGCAAGATTATGGAACAGTGTTTGACCTTAATTTTGAGACCGAAGCACTTGCTGGTGATTTTTTTATATACCCAACGTATTCCCCATCAAATTCTGATTAGGAATACACTTTACATTTCTACAAAGCGATAGTTTTAACGCCAATTGCAGTCGTTTCCATGAAACACTTTCCCTCAGAAACTTTGCAAAACCCATAAAAAATTGTTACTCGTACTGAAGATGGTACTCTAAAGTTTAAAATCAGAAATAAACTTCAAGAATATACTAACAGGTGCAACTAGTACATATTTACACGAAATAAATGCAATTTCAACACTGTTTAAAGAACTTGCTGAATTCAGGGCGATACATTTTACGAAGTCGGAGCTCGACTATTTCTCAAAAAGTAACTGGTTTGAGGTCTCGTCTACGTCCAATTTAAAATTTATGTTTTCAATGGTAGTTGAAATGGTTAGATTAGGATATGTTAGGTTAAGATTTGCAATTCCATTTTTCGAAATTAGAATCAGTGGGTGTGCCCAAACACCACGGTTTGAACATACTGTCACAAACAAGTTCGAACACTTTTTACTTTTTTGCACGCAAATTTCTTCATCTCACTTTCGGACTTTAAATTACAGATTGGTCTGAACCGGTTGCATTTTTTAGTAAAAAAAATATTGTCTTGCTCAATTTATAAAAAAAAATTGATGTTTTTTCGAGCAAGATCACGATACGGCTTCCAAGATGTGGACTTCCGTATTTGTTTGCATCGCGGATTTAGGGCATGGATCTTGCTATTTTTAAATGTCTTCCTACTCATAGTTTATTGAATAATTCTTTCCAATGTATGCCCAGATATTTTACACTTCATTTCCAAATGATTCTGAGGTGGGGTTCTTTCATTTTTCGCACCAGCATCCATTTGCTGAAACGGCGTCGGTTTTCTCACTTTTTGGGGGCTTGCGTTCGGCCGTTGTGGTGTACCCAAATTTCTAGCCTGATTCCTTTTTCCAACGAAATTCTTCAGTTTTGACACCGGGCTTTCGGAAATAATGATTCCTTCCCTCTTGAGTTGATTTACAATTTTTTTCCGCATGATTCCAACTTGGCAAAGTGTTTTTCCACTATGGTGCAATTTGAGGTCAATTTTCGGACCCATCTTCAAATTTTAAAATCCCAAAAATTTTCACTGCCACTCATTAGAGGTTGGAAACTTAAAGCTTTTTAAATTTCATGGATTTTAAATACGGACAATTAGATATGAGCTATCAAACACTGCTCCATAATCTTGCCGTTACCTGTATTACATCAATGGATAACAAATTATGACCACGGCAATGACATCACATCAGGATTAGTATTAATTGATCTATATATGTATCTTAGATGGTGGCGAACCGTGACGATCACAATGTTCCAGACTGGATAGTGAATTCCAGTTGTGTAGGGAGAAATCTGACGGAAATTGTGTCATTGGAGACAAACATGTCGGTGTTGTCGGTCTCTCCTGCTGACGACTCTAACTTCAGCACTACTTATTGCAGCGTCATGTAAAAAAAAATATTACTCAACTGAAAATGTCAGTGCATATTAACAAACACTAGTGCGAGCAGTAGGATAAGTTACTACATATTTATGTGTCTACTTATTTTCCTACGTCGACAATGTTCCCATGATCTTGTGTAAAGTTGTGTAAAGCAAAATAAATATTTGGTCGAATGTTCCCAAAATGAGTATAACTTTTTGTTTTAATTCATGGTCCATTTTACAAATTATAAAATTGGTTTACCAGTTACCTTTCTAGAAACAATTCTTCACGAAATCTAAATGGTAGCAATTATCATCGTATTAGATTATTTTTACAAATTTTACGTGATTATGGCCTTGATGATGATAATAATGAAGGCAGAAATGAGAATAGAAACGAGAACAAATTACAGAGATCGTATTCCAAAATCAATAGCTTATTATTTTCAACAGATAATTAAAAAGATTACAAACTACTTTACATATAATTTAACAGTTTATGAAAGTTAACTTTCTATACGAATCCTATTTTAAAGTTGAGTTATAAATCATTTTTTGAAATATTCAGCTCTGACCATCACTAACAAATTCATATCATAAAAAATTCGATTAAAAAATCTGATCGGCGAGATCGTAATGTGGATAAACATCAGCAACAGCACACGTAGTTTCGGAAGTTTTTCCTTGTTCCAATCAATTTCAATTTCAATCTTTATTAAACGTGACTGCGATGTATAATATGTAAACACATTGATCTCAACACCAGGTCACAAGAAAAGAGTAAAAGATGTTACAATAAATAGATTGATTAAATAATTGCTAGTGGTAAAAATAGTCATAAGTCAAGTTGACTAATAATAAATATAATCATTTGTTCTTTCTTTAATAATTAATTGTCGTAATCCTGAGGAGAATTTGCTAAAACTCTCACTTTTCTTCAATTCTAAGGGTAGAGAGTTCCATAATTTTATTCCTGTATAGTTAAAAGAATTTTGGGCAAATTTAGTTCGCATGCGGGGAAGTACAAAGTCAAATTTGGATCTTGTTGCGTGATTTGATACTACCTTCTGAAAATTGAAACAATTGGTCAAGGACGTATATAAAATACAATGCTTAAAGATATATTCTAGTGTATAAATTTTATACCGTTCATTACTTGTAATCCAATTCAATTTTTCAAACGCGTCATATAACAAAATCTTGTTAGTTTTCAGTATAACTAATTTGGCTAGTCTAAACATAATTCTATCTAATCGTGCATATTGAGTATTTGTCAATGATCCCCAAACTGTAAAACAATAATCTAATTTGCTAATTACAAGTGATGTAGAGAAAATTTTTAACCATACATTGCTAAAAGAGTGTTTGTGTCTATTTATCAGATACATACGGGAAGTCATTTCCTTACATATTTTGTTAAAATGCTCATTAAAACTTAACGTACAGTCTAGCAGAATACCAAGATATTTAAATAATTTGACCTGTTCTAATGGTACGTTGTTTGCAGATATTTTAAGTTTACAATTCTCATTTTTAGGTGATCTAGCATAAAACATCATAGATTTGGTCTTTAAGCTATTAATGTACATGCCATTTTCTTGACACCATTTCATAAGATTGTTGAGGTCTTCTTGAAGCTTCTTTTCGATTTCGGGAAGGGATTTGGACGACAAAAAGATGATGACGTCATCCGCATAAATATATGAGAAACAATGGTGCAGATGTGCTGGGATGTCGTCAATGTAGGCGTTCCAAAGTAGACCCGAGAGGCTGCTTCCTTGTGGAGTGCCACGGTGGAGGGGTCGTATGTCAGATTTCGTCATTCCTTTTCGTACTTGGATGGTTCTCTCATGGAAATAGGACCCAAACCATTTGAGGAGCGATCCTTCAATTCGCATGGCTTTAAGTTTTTGAAGTAGTCTGACATGTACCATGTTGTCAAAGGCACCAGAAAAATCCACCATTAAGGTCCCGGTGATTTCGCCTTTATCTGCATTCGCTCGAATTTCATCAGTTAGTAAGAGGACAGCGCTTTGGGTTGACCTCTCCCGTCTGTATGCATGTTGTTGAGGGCACAACTGGTTTGTTTTGGTTAGGTAGTCAGCCATCCTTTCATACACAAGTGATTCAAGCAGTTTCGAGAAAGTAGAGAGAACACTAACTGGTCGATAACTTTTAGGACTTGACATTGGTCCTGATCCTTTGTAGACTGGGATAACGATGGCTCGTTTTTGTTCTTGTGGGAAGATTCCAACTCTTAACATTTCATTAAAAAGATATGTGAGGATGGGAGTGATGGAGGATTTGCATAATTTATAAAATTTCGGTGGAATTCCATCTGCACCAGTGGGCTTATTGATATTGAGCTTATCAATTGCCTGTTCAATTTCCTCTGTGGTGAATTGTATCTCACATAAAGGGTCGGTGGTATTGGGGGAATGGTTTATGTAGGGAGGTAGATTGATTTGAGGTTGGATAAAACTTTCGCAGAGTGCATTTAATTTTGATTTTTCATCTGCTATTACTTCTCTCCCAATTATGAGAGATGGGATTTCGTAATTTCTTTTAATACGTCCAGATTCTTCATTGAATATTTTCCAGCATTCTTTGGATTGTATTTCACTTTTATCTACCGCTAATTTTATTGCATGTGCTTTAAGTTTGTGTTTAAGATGCGTTAATTTATTTCTCATGGTTTTAACTTCTGCCCAATCTGCATCAGAATTAGATTTTATAGCTCGTTTCTTTATTGTTATATTATTATGATTTAGTTTTTCATATTCACCATTTATCCATTTTTTACGTTTGTGCTTGACAGAGAATGTTTTGAGAGGGGCATGAATATCTAGAGCACTAGTAACAAATTTGGTGAAGATTTCATACTTATTTTCAATGAATGCACACTGGTCAAAAATCCACCACGGCGATTCCTTAATTCTTTTATCTAGTTGAGCAGCGTCAGTATTTTTAAAAATCGTTGTCGTTTCAGAGTTAGTACTTTTAATTGCTCCAGGAGAACAAGACGTTGCAATTGAGATAAGAATAACATCTTAGTATCATCTGTTTCGTATAATTTTAGTACGTCATCCCCCGTCTTCTTCCTCTTCGCAGCACTTGACGAGAGCTTGTTTTCTTCCGGCACGAATCGTGCCGCACGATTAATTCGAAAGGTACAACCATTGAACCCAGACGTCCGGAGTAGCCATGGATGCGCATGGTAGTCATACCTTTTTTTTGCAATTACTGCGCAAAATTTGTAACGTTCATAAATTTGTGTTACGAGGTTCGTAAAGCTCTCTTAAGTACTTGATGTGTTTATATTATAAATTAGTTTTGAATTAAACGGTTCACCTGCTAAATATATAGGTGTGACACAACATAACCCACGAAATGAATACTCCAAACTTATATAGCGGCATCGCGAGCGCCGAATGCGCGAGCGGCTTGGGGCGCCATGAAAAGTTTGCCTGGGGCCCACTTATGCCTAGAACAGGGTCTGACAACATCTGCCGACCATGCATGCTTAGGTAAATATTTCCTGTCATCTTGTGTGAAAGGTACCAAAATGATTGCAATAATGGCACCACGATATGTATTAGAATACAGTATTACTATTAGAGTTATGAATTTGTACATACATATGTGTGCATGTATATACTCCACTGCGGTTTCCATGGGGTAATGATTTGTCACTGCTTCTTTCCCATTGACTGATTCAATACTCAATAAATACGTATGAAACATTTCATTACCTTTCCTTCAGTACTTAGCGGTAATGATATTTAATAGCAATCGGTTAGAGTCGACTCAGAAATGATTTTTCACCAAATTGCTCAGATTGTATGTATGTCGTGAAAATAAAAAAATTCCATTCTTTACAAAATATGTATAGTATGGTGTCAAACATATGCATAACCGCTTTTCATGAACAAAGTGAACCTAAACGATTACGTTCTTATGTACAGGGTGGTTAAAAAGTCACTCTACACAGGAAAATATTTCGATGCGAATTTTTTTAAATTTTCGTTAATTACCAAAATTTTGGCTCTGTAATTCGTTTTAGCATTTTAAGAAATTCGTCATCAGTGTTTCATCAGTTTTATAATAATTATAATCATCTCAATCCCAAATCTTGTAACTAACGGAAATTTAGGGATTATTCACATTGAAAATTTTTCACTATAGTGTAATATTTTAACCACCCTGTACATATGGATTGTCCCTTTTTTTAGGACCTTGTTCATATGTACCTATGCCACCCTGAACCTTAAAAATGCAATAAAGCATTAACAAAAAGTAAAAAAAATGCAGTAATACATTGCCAAATTTCATCCAATTTACTTTTCTGGGGAACCCTGTTGAACAAGTGCAATGTAAATTTAACCCCAGATACACACATACATATTTTGTGGATATAATCCCCTTCCGGAATAATTTGGATTGTTGTAGATTTAGAGAAATCTTTTATACAAGCATTTTCCTTAAAAACACATTTTATTTATTTATATATCTATCAAATCAAGAAGTGAAGTTTAATTTGATTTGTAATGCATGTCGGTGATTAAGAATGAATAAACAAACATAATGGAATAATGACATCCTAACTATTCCTAACATATGTGATCTGTGGCGACGAGTGGACACGGATAATTGAGCAATCGATTTGATGTGCACACACACATTTAACTGAGTAGTTGCAGGAATTCTGTCGTGGAGATAGTTTTACTCATCAATTTTGCCAATTACGAATCGCGATGTGAATAGGTACAGCAATATGTAGAAAGTTTTGGCCCGTGGACATTTACTACAAAACATATTGTAAACATGCAGCCATATATACCTCATTTACACCTTAGGTACACTCTCCGAAGTGTGGTAATGATGTTTTAATGACCATCATTACTGTCGGGTTGGTAATTGTGAATTATACCAAAAACGGTAATTATTTGTTTACCGAATTTTATTATTAATAAAGTTTTTGGTTCACTACGGGTTGATAAATTCGCTAAGATTAAAATCGGTAAGCTAAAAATACCAAGCGGTATGTATTCATTACGAAAAAAGAAAACTGTATAGTACTGCCCCATAATGAACACTTTATTTTCCGGGTAATGTATTTGAATCTTTATGCGGTATTGCCATTCTACCGCACTGGTATTTATTTTTCACAATTCAAGTAATGAAAGAAGTTGCGCAC